ATCGCTGATTAATCTCGGCGATAGAAGCGGGATGAGAAGGACGCGCGTGGAAGGTGTTAACAAGTTATTTCGTTAATTTATGTGTAACTCAGAACACAGTCTGAGCCGTCTTTAATGTGTCAAAATTGATACAGTCTGACCTAAGAATAGATGAGCGGTGTATGAAAGAGGAGTCTTTGTATGATCGTGGAAGGCGAGAGACAATTATATTAATTGCCCTCCTCGTGGTAATTCGCCCGTAAGCCGGTGAGACACGTGGCGGTCGGCACTCGCGCACGTGTGAGCCTGAGTCGTCGTGTTGATGCATCTGAGCTGTTCGAGAAGTCTCTTTACACGTTAATGCAGTATCTCGGCAGCTGTAATCACTGCGGTGGGCACTTCAATGTGTAGTCACAGTCAAAATGCACAGAGCACACGTCGCACGTCTGGTCACTGCGCGGCTATTTTTACGACTCTGTGTGTCGCGAGGAAGAAGACGGCGATGAGCGCGCCCGTGCTTGCGCAAGTTGCCGCGTCGATCCGGCCCGTCCATATCCGATCGATGCTGCCATCTGATCGGACGGCGCAACGTGAACGGAATCTCGAACATTCCGCCCGCCATAAGCAACCTTGTTGATGATTCCTTACTCTTGATCCTTTATCCTGTTAAAATGGGTAATATGGCAAGCTTGGCAATTGGCCGGGTGAGTGTCGTGATGGCCGTCTTGAGGGTAACCACCCTGGTGAGTCCATCCTTGCCGGGGTGCAAAGCTGTTACTCTGGCGAGTGGCCATTTGCACGGTGGAGAGCGTTCGTCGGTGAGCAGCACGATAGAACCCACCGTGATGTTGTTGTTAGGATGATGCCGCTTGGATATCGCCTGCTGGCATTGCAGATAATGAGCCGACCATTGTGCCCAAAAATGTTGAACACGCTGCTGGATGAGCTGCCACCGAGATAGTCGCGAGGTGGCCAGGTCACTCACAAGGGAACGGTCAAAAGTGTCCCTACCCGATTTGGATGCGCTTTGGATATGTTGTTGAGCACAAAAAAATAGTAGACTCGTATTTTTTTGCGGCGTATCTTGACGTTTAGGGGTTGAAAAAACCCCTAAAAAATAACGACCGATTTGGATGCGCTTTGGCTACATTATCGAGCATAAAAAAACATTAGACACAAGTTTTTTTTGCTGCTTATCTCGACGTTTAGGGGTTGAAAAAACCCCTAAAAAATAACGACCGATTTGGATGCGCTTTGGCTACATTATCGAGCATCAAAAAACATTAGACACGGGTTTTTTTGCTGCTTATCTCGACGTTTAGGGGTTGAAACAACCCCTTGAAAATAACGGATTTTATAGTTTTTAGCGAATATCTTCGAAAATATAAGGCGTAACAACAAAACATTTGTACGAAATGTTTATGGATTTTTGTGCTCTTTACAATGGCGTAATCAGATTTTTCAAATTTGTCACATTTTTTAATTTTGATACCATTATTAGATTTTTGGCAAGACGAGATGATATGTGATATAGGCGTTGCGCTGTAGGTAGGTGTTGCGTTATTTCTGTTCAGTTGCGCCGTACGCTTAATAATTTCCATTTGTGCATATTTTCTCATACAATATATACTATATACTACAACATAATAGGATTCCCCCGTTAGCCTCGGCGGGGGAGAAGGTGGAAAGTTCGGAAAGGTGGAAATAGGGTCGACAACAGAGCTGTGTGGAAGGGTGGAGGTGCAGGATTGAAGGAGGGTGCGAAGGAAGTTGAGAGGAGGCAGTGGGATTGGAGGTGATGATAGAATCGAGTTGAAGCTGCCAGAAATTGAAGGAGAAGAGGAGAGTTAAAAGTGAGGTTAGGATGACGGAGAGGAATAAGAAGGAGGACGCAGCGAGAAGGAGTGGAGAGTGAGTTGAAGAGTTGAGTGCAGAAAGAACGGGTACTCGAGCGAGCGGGAGCGAGGAATCGATTGTGAGATCGATCGAGTCGACATGCGAGAGAGGTGCTAACGACGGACGGCGGATGTGAGAAATGAGACAAGCTGGCTCGTTTAATCAATGAATGATCGAGCGGATCGAGCGTCAGAGAGATGCGTTTCGGTATGGTAAGGGCCTAAGCAGAATGGCTGTCTTGGCAGTATTTTATGCCTTAAGTCTCTGTCTTATGTAAGGGCCTAAGCAGAATGGCTGTCTTGGCAGTGTTTTATGCCTTAAGTCTTTGTCTTATGTAAGGGTCTAAGCAGAATGGCTGTCTTGTGCGTTCCTTCTGCACTCAACTCTTCAACTCACTCTGCACCCCTCCTCGCTGCGTCTTCCTTCTCATTCCTCTCCGTCATCCTAACCTCACTTTTAACTCTCCTCTTCTCCCTCAATTTCTGGCCGTTTCACCTCGATTCTATCATCACCTCCAATTCCACCGCCTCCTCTCAACTTCTTTCGCACCTTCCTTCAATCCTGCACCTCCACCCTTCCACACAGCTCTGTTTTCGACCCTATTTCCACCTTTCCGAACTTTCCACCTGCTCCCCCGCCGAGGCTAACGGGGGAATCCTATTATGTTGTAGTATATAGTATATGGGTGTTTCTACGTAAATAGCGTTTTTTACTGTCCAAGCTTGTTATATGTTCATGATTGAAAGGAAGGTAAGCAAGCGTTGTGAAAGTTCACTACTGCATCGTATTTGAAATATCGCACAATAATCTGCTAATTGGGGAGTGGCTTATCCAATGGAAACATGCAGAAACTCCTAAAAATGTCAGTTACCTGGCCTGTCCATTGTCGAAAATTCTCTATTCCAGTTACACTTACTCCCTCCAATTGCAAACTCAATTAAAAATTTCCCATGTTCATTCAATCATAATATAGAACTAAGATTTTAACATCATTATTAAACATAAATCTCCCTTTGGAACCGAAAAAACTGGCTTCAAACTTGGTCCGGATATATGGAGTAAAATTGAACATTTTGAATTTTGCCGCGGTTCCGCTATGTTGCATCGATTCAATGGGAGTCTGGTGTGGAGATTTCAAGAATTGGACATCAGGTGTGTTGTTTACATTGTTGGTGGTTGGTTGTTTTGAGCGTGATACAATCGTAATCGTGTATTTCACTTGAGAAAAGGTATGTCATAAAACGTCATTTGCCTGGCACATCTTTTTTTATTATATCGCAGTGAATTTTTCCTTCTAGTGGTAAAATTCTGATGATATTCGATAGGCTAAACTTGATTTTTAATGGAAATTGGTTTACGTCAATTCAGGAGAAAGTGAGATTAATTCAACCATGAAATGTCAGTCTACTGGCATGTCATTCACCTGGCCATTCATGGGTTTGACGTTGAAATAAAATCAAACACGGTAAAAAACGTTGAAATAAAATGATTTTTATATTTACAGATGGTTAAAAAAGCGACTCCACGATGTGGAGTCGCTCTAGAAAATGTGTCAAATTTGGTAAACCGGCATTTTTCAAATTGAATTTTTTTGCTAATTGTGAATTTATCTCGGGAATAAGTAATTTTAGGAATTTTTTTGACATTTCCTCTCAAAATCACTCATTGTTGAGGTAATTCAATATTTTACTAGACATGCAAAGTCGACTCATTACCGCACTTTACCAGATCACTGATGAATAAGCCATTACTTTCAGGTTTTTGATGTTGTAGTACGCTAGCTTTCAGGGTATGTTTCTGCTTCTATATTCACTCAAAAACAAGAAAAAAAATTTCTTTTAGGTATGTTTGAAATTGAGAGATTTGCAATCTGAAAAAACGCTATTTACGTAGAAACACCCATATATTGTATGAGAAAATATGCACAAATGGAAATTATTAAGCGTACGGCGCAACTGAACAGAAATAACGCCTTTTATAAAATCATTGATCATAAGACCGTGGGCTATATACGGTGACGCGAAAGTAACCAACGCAACTGCGTCCGACCACAAATCAAACTCGCCATTGCTCATCATGAGCTCAGTGCGGGCTGTCGGGTGTTTCTGACGTTCAGGAGAAGCCCGCGGCGGAGATGTTGAGACTACCGATCGCGCGGGCCACCGGCCTGGCGGGTGGAAGGCACTGCGCCGTCGGTTTCCACACGACGTCCAGCAAGTCGCAGCAGGAGCTGGTCGAGGTCTTCATCGACGACAAGCCTGTGCAAGTGCCACCGGGAACGACGGTCCTGCAGGCCGCCGCTAAGGTGGGAGTTGAAATACCAAGATTCTGTTATCATGAACGTCTTGCCGTAGCTGGAAATTGCAGGATGTGTCTTGTTGAAATAGAGAAGCAAGTCAAGCCGGTTGCTGCGTGCGCTATGCCAGTGATGAAAGGTTGGAGAGTGAAAACCAACTCCGACCTGACACGGAAAGCCCGCGAGGGTGTTATGGAATTTCTGTTGGTTAACCATCAAAACAGAAATAACACCTACCTACAGCGCGACGCCTATATCTCGTCTTGCCAAAAATCTAATAATGGTATCATAATAAAAATTCACATGGATATATTTGGCATTTAACGCTCTTAAATTTGCGTTGGAAAAATTGTTATATTTGGCAAAAATAATAGGTGGGGGTGGGGTTAAATTAAAAAATGTGACAAATTTGAAAAATTTGATTACGCTATTGTAAAGAGCACAAAAAGCCGTAAACATTTTGTACAAATGTTTTGTTGTTACGCCTTATATTTTCGAAGATATTCGCTAAAAACGATAAAATCCGTTATTTTCAAGGGGTTGTTTCAACCTCTAAACGTCGAGATAAGCAGCAAAAAAAACCCGTGCTAATGTTTTTTGATGCTCGACAACATAGCCAAAGCGCATCCAAATCGGTCGTTATTTTTTAAGGGTTGTTTCTACCCCTAAACGTCGAGATAAGCAGCAAAAAAAACCCGTGTCTACTGTTTTTTGATGCTCGACAACATAGTCAAAGCGCATCAAAATCGGTCGTTATTTTTTAGGGATTTTTTCAATCTTTAAACGTCGAGATACGCCGCAAAAAAAAATACGAGTCTACTATTGATGCTCAACAACATATCCAAAGCGCATCCAAATCGGGTAGGGACACTTCCGACCGTTCCCTTGTCAGAGATGGCTCGGCTATGGTAGTGAGTGGACCTCCAATGAGGAAATGACCCGGTGTGAGCGCTGAGACGTCTTCAGGGTCGTCACTCAGCGGTTCTAAAGGCCGAGTTGAGAATGGCCTCGATTTGCGTAAGCAACGTTGTGAGTTTTTCCGTCGTGAGTAGAGTCTCCCCAATATCCGTCTCAGATGAAACTTCACGGATTTCACCACCGCCTCCCACTTGCCCCCCATGTGTGGAGCGCCTGGTGGGTTGAACTCCCATCTTGTGCAATCAAGTTGCAAAACTTGAGCAATCCGTTGATGTTCTTGAGAACTCTGGATGAACATTTTCTTGAGCGCGGCGTCTGCTCTAATGAAGGTTGTCCCGCAGTCCGAATACATGGTCTGAGCAATTTCCCTTTTTGCTGAAAATCTTCGGAAGGCTGCTATGAATCCTTCTGATGAGTAGTCACTGACTACTTCGAGGTGAATTGCAGAGGTGGAGAAGCAGACGAACACACAGATCCATCCCTTGTATGTTTTCGCACCTCGTTCTTTCCATGTCTTGATGGTGAGCGGTCCGGCATAGTCGACTCCTGTATGAGCAAACGGACGTGACGGCGTAACCCGAGAGAAAGGTAGTTGGCCCATTAGTTGATGAGCACGGATCCCCCTGTGCCGAGCACACACGACACACTATAAGATATGAGACTTCACCGGAGCCCGTCCGCCGATGATCCAATATTGTTGCCTGACATGAGTTAATGTCAGCTGAGTTCCTCCATGCAAGGTGCGCAGATGGGCGTGAGCGATGATTAAAGTTGAGAACCGTGAGTGGCGAGGTAAAATCGCCTGATGTTTGTTGTCCTGAGCTAGTGTTGATTGGTTGAGGCGGCCGCCAACTCGGACAATTCCTTGAGCGTCTATGTACGCAGTCAATCGACTGAATGCGTGAGTAGTTGGCAATCTCGAGTTGGCCGTGAGCATCTTGATCTCGTGCGTAAAGTATGCCGCTTGAGTAGCCTTGATCCAGAAAAGTCTGGCCTTCTCCAAAGCAGAGTGCGAGTCCAACGATTTAGCTCGGTGCTTTCCAGCAGAGAGGTGAACCTGAAACAGAAAGCTGGTAATTCTCAATAATTTATTGAGGGTTAAGTACCTATATATGAGGTCCCAGTGATAGTCCGACTGAGATGCGGCCGCATATAGCGCAATGCCTGGATGAGCCTCATGCGCGCTCAACTCGTCCGAAAGCGCGGGTTGTGATGGCCATGCTTCAGGGGTAAGTATCCACGGTGGTCTCGTCCACCATAATGAGTGGCTTTGGAGTAGAGCAGTAGTTAGTCCTCGTGATGCGCAGTCGGCTGGGTTGGATGTACCAGGTACGTATTTCCAATGTGCGTTCGCAGTGAGATTTTGAATTTGAGAAACTCGGTTTCTCACAAAATCCTTCCAGCGCGATGCATGAGATTTGATCCACGTGAATGTCACAACAGAGTCCGTCCACAGGTGAGTTGCTGTAACGTTTAACTTCAAGGTGGCTTGAACGTATTGCATGAGTCTTGAGAGCAGCAGTGCTGCGGTGAGTTCAAATCTCGGGATGGTGAGCCGTTTGAGCGGTGCTACTTTATTTTTGGAGCACACCAATGAAATCGTGGCGCCATTAGAGCCGTGGACGGTGATATATACGACTGCAGCCATTGACAGTTAAGAAGCATCAGAAAAGCCGTGAAATTCCACTGACGAGGTGCTCAATGTGTTATACCACCGAGGTATTGAGATTTTGCGCAAGCTGGTGAGTTCTTTTCTGATGATGAGCCACCGTGATTAGAGCTGGGATGGCAGTGGTTCATCCCATTGGAGCTTATAAAGCCAAAGCTCCTGCAAGAGCATCTTCGCCTTGATCACGACTGGTGATGCAAAGCCTAGTGGATCGAATATCTGAGTCACTTCAGACAAAACGAGGCGTTTGGTGAGATGATCGGTGTGCGGCGAGATCCTTGTTGAGAATGCGAATGAATCTTCTTGAGGAAGCCATCGTAATCCAAGTATTTTGGTTACGCAATCGTCAAATGTAATTTGTGAGCCCTGGTCCTTTTCTGCTTGAACCGCAGTGAGCACGTCTGGATGAGTCGCGTGCCACTTGGCCAATGAAAAACCGCCCGCCATGCACAAGTTCTTCAGCTTGAATGATTGGCGGCACTGCGAGGGGAAAATTGTGACCTTCATCCTCCACCAGTTGCAGCAGTGTTCGTACAGCCAAGAACGGGGCAGTTTTGGTACCATACGTGACCGTTGTTAGATAATATGGCACTTCATTAAGCTGATCGTCGATCCATAGAATCCGTTGTAAGTTCCAGTCATCTTCATGTACGTTGATTTGCCTGTACATCTTGGTGATGTCCGTGGCAACTAAATGCCGAAATTGTCGAATCCAAAGCAAAACATCTGTGATGTCTAAGTGCAGTTTGGCTCCTGTGTGCAT